ACATGCACATCAAAAGTCATTAAAAAATAAAAAATTTTTAAATACACCTAAAACTAATATAATGTTATATGTCAATTATATCTCAGTGAAACAATGGAGGAAAGTCCATACAATGGGAGAAAATATGTGCAATCACATATCAGATAAAGGACTTGTATCCAGAATATATAAAGAACTTTTACAGCTCAAAAATAAGGCAAATGAGAGAATTTTTAAATGGAGAAAAGATTTGAATAGATATTTAACCATAAAAGATACACAACATAGGCTTAGCTAATACACTCATGAGAAGATATTCAATGGCATTAGTCATTAGAGAAATGCAAGTTAAAGCCATGATGACATACCAAAACACACTCACGAGAATGTTTATAATCAAAAAAAGACAGACAATACCAAGTGCTAGTGAGAATGAGGAAAGAGTGAAACCCACATGCATTGCTTATGAGAATGTCGAACTGTACAGCCATTTTGGAAAACCATTCCATGGGTTTACTTTTAAGTGGAACATAAACTTGCCATTTGACCCAAGAATTCCATTCCTTGGAATCTGTGCAAGAGACCTGAAAACATATGTCCCCACAAAACATGTATAGGAGTGTTCATAGCAGCATTACTTATAATAGCCCCCAAATAGAAATAATCCAAATGTGCAAATACTGATGAATGTATGGAAATGCAAATGTGGTATTTCCATACAAGAGATACTACTCCTCAAGTAAAATGAAAGAACAACATATACAACATGCTACAGCATGGATAAACCATGGATAACAGCTACTACAACAGGAATAAACTACCAAAACAGTATATTAGCTGAAACAAGCCAGATGCAAACGACTACACATTGAATGATTCATTTCTATGAAATATCCAGTAAAAAGGCAAATTTATAGACAGAGGCAATCAGCGATTACCTTGGTCTGGGGTTTTGAGAAATGATTTAATGCAGATAGGCATAAGGGAACTTTCTGAGGTAATGAAGATGTTCTAAAACTGGCTGTGGTGATGATTACCCAAATCCATAACTTTACTAATAAGCATTAAATTGAAAAAAGAAAAATTAACGTCACCTGTAAGGAACAAATGGATATGATGTGTTTCCAGAGAAAGACACAGGATTACTTATTAGTATTCAAGTCAAAAATATTTATATAATTTTACTCTTATCATGAGGAAACATCAGAGAACCTCAAATTGAGGAACACTAAGAAATAACTACCTATAATTTTCAAAAATATTAATGGCTTGAAAAACAACAGAAGGCTAAGGAACTATTCCAGAAAAAAAGTTAACTAAGGAGACATGACACCTGAAAGAAATGCATGATCCTGACATGCATCTTATAGGCAAAAAAAAAAAAGAAAAAGAAAAAAGAGAAAAAGGGGGGTGGTTAATTGGATGAAAGTAGACCAAAGGTACAAACTTCTACTTATAGGATAAATAAATACAAGGGATGTAATGTATAGCACACTAACTATAATTAGCACTGCTGTATGTTATACATTAAGGTTAAGAGAATAAATCTAAAGAGTTCTCATCACAAGAAAACATTCTTTTTCTATTTCTTTAATTTTGTATACCTATACGAGATGAGGGACTTTAACTAAACTTATTGTGGTAATCATTTCATGATGTATATAAGTCAAATCATTATCCTGTACACCTTAAACAAACAGTGCTGTGTGTCAATAATATCTCAAAGCTGGAAGGAAAAATAATAGCAAATTTAAAATTTTTAAATAGATAGAGATATTTAATAAAGGATATTGTTAATATAATTGACAAAATTGGAAAATGGACTATGGATTAAAGCATGGCAGCAATATTAAATTTTTTAAAATTTGATAACTGTTCTAAAATATATATGAGAGAATATTCGTGTTAGGAAATATACACTGAGTAATTCTGGAGAAAGGGTCTGAATATATACAACTTACTCTCTAATGATTCAAGGAACAAATATTTATGTATGTGTATTTTTATCTGTCTATATAAACATACATATCCTGTGGTCTTTCTGAGAGACAGGAATAAAGAATGATAAAGCAAATGTGGCAAAGTGTTAAAAGTTAATAGAGGATAAATGAGAATTCTTTATATTGTTTTTGCCCTGTTTCTATAAGTTTGGAAATATTTCAAAAGAACGCATTAAATATTCAATAAAACAGGAGGAGATTGATAATTCTTTGACATGACATTTATTTCTGAACAATATACTTAATAGGTAAACAGTAGCAGGAGTCCCACCAAAGTCTAGAACAAGAAAAGATGCCACTTTTCCAATAATATTTGACATTGTACTGGCGATACTAGCCAACACAATCAGACAAGAGAAAGAAATTAGATGTTTAAAATCTTAAAGGGAAGAAAAATAAGACCATTTGCAAACCATATGATTGTAAAACTAAAAAAATAACTGAAAAAACATAGAATTCCATAAGAAAGCTGAATTCACAATTAAGATACAGAAATCACTGTCTGTCACTTATAACACAGAAGCTGAAGTCCTTGGTTAAAAAAACAAGAAAAAACCAAACTGCATTTGGCTTCAGCCTCAGCCTTTAAAAGCCCAAATAACTACTTCAATGACAGTTTTGTCATTCTTAAAATAGTAAAGGATTAATAATCGTGGGACAACACAGGCCATCATCGTATCAAATCATTGGGGTAGCATCACTAATTCAATGCAATTCACCACTCAGTAACATGTTCAGGAAGTAAAGAAAGCACAACATAATATACCAGAATTACCAGTATTACTGTGAGGTAAGCAGAGAGTGAGTGGGCCAGTACCTCATTCTGCTTCAGGCAAAGACAAAGGTGTTACTGTACAAGAGATGTTTGAAGCTGCCTTTTCTTATACAACATTTTCATGTAAAAGCCTGTTTTGCATGTTGGAAAA